AAAAAAAAACATATGTTGCCAGCCACCAGTGGCTTCTGCCTATAATCCTAGCTGAGATCTGAAGATCATGGTTCACAGCCAGGCAGGGCAGGAAGGTCTGTGAGACACTTATCTCTAATTAACCACCAAAAATCTGGAAGTAGAGCTGTGGCTCAAGTGGTAGAGTGCTAGTCTTGAGAAAAAAAGGTTCAGGAACAGTGCCCAGGCCCTGTGTTCAAGCCTTAGGACCAGCACAAAATAAAGAAAATGTCTGAAGTGTAGTCCCATTTTCTTATACAATGAACACAGACGCTCAACAGAGTCATTGTATAAGTGAATATAAGAATCTGGCAGATGGGCACCTGTGGCTCATGCCTGTAATCCTAGCTACTCTGGAGGGTGAGATCTGAGAATAATGGTTCAAAGCCAGCCTGGGCAGGAAAATCACAAGACTCTTGTCTTCAGTTAACCACCAGAAAACCAGAAGTGGCACTGTGGCTCAAAAGTGGTAGGAGCACTAGCCTTGAGCAAAAATAGCTTAGGGACAGCATGCAGGTCAAGTTCAAGCCCCACGACTGATTAAAAAAAAGAAAGAAAGAAGAGGGGCTGGGAAGATGGTTCAGTGGTAGAGTGCTTGCCTTGCAAGCATGAGGCCCTGGGTTCAATTTCTCAGCACCACATAAGCAGAAAAAGCCCTAAGTAGCACTGTGGCTGGAGTGGTAGAACACTAGCTTTGAGCTGAAGAACTGAAGGACAGCACCCAGGCCCAGAGTTCAGACCCATGACCAAAAGAGAGAGAGAGAGAGAGAGTCTGGCTGACTTCTGTTAAGCTAGTCATTCACAGAATTTTATAAAGGTATAAAAATAAAGCCACTTGAAGTAAATTGTTTTGGAGGATGTAATTGTTATTTTCAATAAGATGTCATTTGTGTAAGTATGTAGTGGGTTTTATATTTATTTCTAAATGAATGTTTAAGTCTCCATTTTAATTTCTAATATGGCATTTATCAAAAGAGAAAATCAGAATGCTTATAGTGGCTTGCAGGAAGCAGCAATGTACATCTTTTTTTTCTTTTTTTCTTTTTTTTTTGGGGGGGTCTGGTCGTGGGGTCTGAACTCTGGGCCTGGGCGCTGTCCCTCAGCTCTTCAGCTCAAGGCTAGCGCTCTACCACTTGAGCCACAGTGCCACTTCCGGCTTTTTTTTCTTTTTGCTTATGTGGTGCTGAGGAATTGAACCCAGGGCCTCTGGCTTGCAAGGCAAGCACTCTACCACTGAGCCACCTTCCCAGCCCCTACATCTTTTTTTTCTGACATAGTGTCCAATAGCTTGTTTATTTGTTTTGTGTGTGTGTGTGTGTGTGTGTGTGTGTTTTGTCAGTCATGGGCTTGAACTCTGGGCTTGGGCACTGTCCCTGCGCTCTTCACTTCAAGGCAAGCGTTCTACCACTGGAACCACAGTGCCACTTCCGGTTTTCTAGTGGTTTATTGGAGATAAGAGTCTCACCGACTTCCCTGCCCAAGCTGGCTTTGAACCATGATCCTCAGATCTCAGCCTTCTGAGTAGCTAGGATTACAGGCATGCGCCACCAGCATTTTCAATAGCTTGTTTAATAGTAGCTTGAAATCTGCTGTAGCAGGTGTGTTTTCACCACAAGAATGAGCAAAAGCTGTAAATGAAGCTCATACTTGCCAGGATCTGGTTAGTAAATTCTGATCAGCCTCCACCAGATGGAAATATAGTAGATTTATAGAAGCAAGTAAAAGTGTTCTGAGATTGTTTACAGTGTTAAGGGTACAAGTATCCTAAGACTATAGTTTTTAAGAATTAGTTGTATGGAGAACAGGGAATGTTTTGGTAATTGATAAACACCAAGGTAGATATTGTATGTGGGTTTGTTTTTGGTGCTGATCCTGAGCCTTAAACTCTTGGGTGTGAGTGTTGTCCCTGAGATTTTTTTCCTCAAGACTAGTGCTCTACCACATGGGTCATAACTCTGCTTCTGAATTTTTGGTGGTTAATTTGAGATCAGAGTCTTATGGAGACTTTCTTATCTGGGATGGCTTTGACTGTGACCCTTACATATCAGCCTCTTAAATAGCTAAGATTGCAGATAACACCACCAGTGCCTGGCAGATGGATGTCTTTTTATAAAGTTGCCTTTTGTGTTGACATTTGTATAAGAAATCCATCCTTCCCTTCTTTCCCTCCTTCCTTCCTTCCTTCCTTCCTTCCTTCCTTCCTTCCTTCCTTCCTTCCTTCCTTCCTTCCTTCCTTCTGTCTCTCCCTTCCCTCCTTCCTCTCCTGTCTTGTGCATGTTTGTATCTGTGTGTCTGTGTCTCTCTCTGCCTCTGTCTGTCTTCCTCCTGCCCCCAATTTTATGCTTTGTAGGCAGGCACTATAGCTCCACTGCTTCAGACATGACCTTAATCCATTTTTTTTCTTTTGATCTTGTAGTTTTGTTTTGCCAGTCCTGGGGCCTGAACTCAGGGCCTGGGCACTTTCTCTGAGTTTCTTTTGCTCAAGGCTAACACTTTACCACTTGAGTGCCACTTCTGGCTTTTTCTCTTTATATGGTTCCAAGGAATCGAATTGGGTTCATGCATGCTGGGTAAGCACTTTACTGCTAAGCCATATTCCCAGCCCTTGATCTTGTAGTTGCTAAGTCTACTCCATATGGCTGTTCTTCTTTCCCTCTAAAGTCTTAAGGTTCATGATAACAGAGATAGGCAGGCTGAAATGGCCTCTAGGGCTATATATATGGTGGCCTCTGCCCTCATTGCTCACTTTCTGTCCAGCTGTTATCAAGCTCAGATCAAGGCCTGGTTCAAGCTCTGACTTGTACACAAAGCTTTCCTATTGTCCAGGGTTTACTGTGATATCCTCAGCCTCTAAAGTGGAACAACCAGTCTTTACTATTAGGTATGCTTTTTTCTCTAGGTGTTAGTTTTATCAACTCTATACTTTAGTGCACACTTAGGGCTATACTTAGCACGAACTCTTGCATGGGTATCAGATTTTTAGCTTTTGGTTTTCCATAGAAGTTGTCTTCCAAGCAAATGATGTTAGTAATAAACCTTAGTTATTTGTTGTAAGGCTAGCCTCTCTCTGTCTCTCTCTCTCTCTGTCTCTGTCTCTGTGTGTGTGTGTCTGTCTGTCTGTCTGTCTGCCTCTCTCCCTCTTTCTGTATTGGGTTTAAACTCAAGACCTCACAATTACTAGACAGATACATTTCCACTTGAGCCATGTGCCCCGTCCAGTTTTTTTTTAAATTGTTGTTGTTTTAGTTTTGAGACAAGGCCTTTTTACGTAGCCCCAACCAGCCTTGAACTATCCATACTCCTGCCTGTACCCCAAATACTGGCATTATAGGCGATGCTAGCACACCTGGCTTGTAAATGAGGTTGTTGTGTTTTGTGCTGGTTTTAGGGCTTGAACTCCAGGCCTGGGCCCGACTCTTGAGCTTTTTTACTCAAGGTTGGTGCTCTTTAGCCACAGCTTCACTTCTAGCCTTTTGGTGGTTAATTGGAAATAAGAGTCTCATGGACTTTCCTGTCAGCCTCCTGAGTAGCTAGAATTACAGGTGTGAGCCACCAGTACCCAACTTAAACCCAATTATTATTATTATTTTTTTTGTCAGTCATGGGGCCTGAACTCTGGGCCTGGGCGCTATCCCTCAGTTCTTCAGCTCAAGGCTAGCACTCTACCACTTGAGCCACAGCACCACTTCCGGCTTTTTCTGCTTATGTAGTGCTGAGGAATTGAACCCAGGGCCTCATACATGCAAGGCAAGCACTCTACCACTAAACCCAATTATTATTAAGCCCTTTATAATACTAGTAGATTGGATAGCATTGATGTTCCTTAAAAGTGAGATCACACACAGAGGCTTCCTTAAAAATTATTTAAAATCCCAAAGTTCTACCACGAATACAGATAGAAATTGGTAGCTTCTCAATGAATAAGTGAATAACTGAACCAGACTTCCTAAATTACACTGGCATATAAGCCAGAATTATTCAATACTTAAGAAACTTTGCAGGTTTTGAGTGCAGAGTGTGTGGAGGGGCATGTGGTGGGGAACTGTGTTAAGTACTGTAAGGGCTGTGAGAAGACTGCACCTCTCTGCTCAGCGCTGAGAGATGCTCTGGCCCCCTCTCTCTAGCTCAGTGCTCTACCCCCGGGAAGGAAGATCATGGGTGGCAGAAGCCGCTCCAGCTCCAGATAAGACACTCTAGATCAGGAATTTCTTTGGTTTGTGCATTTTTTTCCTTCTGTGATTATAAGAGGCATACAGTTGTGACTTTTTTTTTTGTTCAGCCTAGGGCTTGAATTCAGGTACTAGGCTCTGTTCCTGAGCTCTTCTGCTTAAGGTTAGTGCTTGACCACTTGAGCCACAGCTCTACTTCCTGCGATTTTGGTAACTAATTGGAGATAAGAGTCTCATGGATTTGTCTGCCCAGGCTAGCTTTGAACCTTTATTCTCATATCTCAGCCTTCTGAATAGCTAGGATTACAGGTATGCACCACTAGCACCTGGCTTATTGTGACAGAGTATCAGCTTGCATCTGAAGCAGTCCTAGATTTGTCATATGAAACTTTTATTTATTATAAAACAATTCACCATACTGAAGTTCTTTCTAATTTCTCTTATGTTAGAGAGAGAGAGTTCATACTCTGGTCTCCACAAGGGAAGGCATCACTGTTAGTGGCTGTGAGGTGGTAGTGAGGTAGTTTAACTGCTTTAGAACTTTACATCCAGAACATTCTCCTCCACCGAAGCATGGGCACCAAAAGTGAGGCGCATGGGTTCTTTAGTATCTGTCACATCAGAGAATGACAGCTCCAGGACAGTGAGCACCTCCTAATGGTAAGTACCCCTGCCTGTCTGTCATCTCTTAAAAGCAAAACTAAGAAATGAGACGTAGGCCAGTCATGTTAGTGAGTGGTACTTCTTAAAAGTAAGCAAAAATGACAGCCCCAAAGGTCCAGCTTTAATCCTCAATGATGATCACTTTTGCAGGTTTCTGTAGCTGGATCAGGCACCGGAAGAGGCTCCCCAGCTGTAACTCTAGTGCAGTTACCTTCAGGCCAAACTGTGCAGGTCCAGGGAGTAATTCAGACACCACAGCCATCGGCTATTCAGTCACCACAAATACAAACTGTTCAGGTTAGCTTTCTTCCTGGGTGATTAGCCTTTCATTATGGAGCTTTTATAATCAAATCTTTTTAGATATTTATAGGAATATCATCTCTTTTTTTTGGTGCAGTAGTGTGTTGTGTCCTGCTAGGTGAATAGATTTAACTTCAGACTTAGTGTTTGGCCTGGACATGGTGACATATGCCTATAATATCAGAACTTGGGAGGCTGAGTTAGAAGGATCTCAAGATTGAGGCCGGCTTAGACTACATAATGATAGCCTGTCAAACAAACCAAGAAAGAAAAAGAGTTGGAGTTTTGTTGTTTTATTTTAATTTTCAGAATGAGACATTGTTAGATAAGCACTTCATGTCTTTGAGCTGTTATGTGTTTGGACTCAGATTTTTTTTTTTTAGCAAAGTTGTCCAGTGATGTTTAAATAATATCTCAAGGGTTCTTTGCAGAAGATGTCTGATAAATGTGGTAAAATAAAGATTAATAAGGGGGGAGTGTAGTTGTAGAGGTGGGAGGGAAGGGATGGTAGGGGAAAAACAAAGGAGGAGGCAGCAATGCTTGATAGGGAGTGTACTCATTACCTTGCTCATGTAACTGTAAATCATAAAGACATCAAAAAGATTAATAAAGGTATTAATAAAGATTATGTTGTCAGTACCATGTTAATGAATATTCACATTAGTTTATTTTGCATTTAGTGTATATAATCCTTAGAAGTAATGTGACATTTATTGGTTGGTGCTGGGAATTGAATCCAGAGCCTTGTGCATGTTAGCCTTGTGCTATATTCACCAATCTAACCTGAGGGGGGATGTATATGCTATGTTTATATTCCATGGTCCCCTCAGCTTGAAGCTTGGATTTTGTACATGGGATTAATTTTGTGACTGTCGATAGACTACAACAAATCAACGACAAATTAATAATCACTTAAAGCATACTGATGTTCTTTCTGTTCCTTTCTGAGATCAGCTTTAAATGCTAAAATGAACCTAATTGATAGGGGGGAAATCTATGAGGAAAATGACATGCACACACTTAGCGGTGTACTTTGTGGGTTTGAGTGTAGTTCAATGAGGGTAAATGAGACACTGTTTAAGGAACAAATCCACATGCTGTAAGATCTTATGGCTGTGGGGAGTGGCTTAAGTGGTGGAGCACTTGCCTAGAAAGCGAGGGGCTCTGAGTTCAATTCCCAGGACAACAAAAGGGAACAAAATTCAAAAGAAAAAAAGGAAAAATAATAATTCTCACCACTTTTTTTGTTTACTTTTTTTTGTGTATGTACCAGTCTTGGAGCTTGAATTCAGGGTCTGGGTGCTCTCCTGAGCTTTTATGCTCAAGGCTAGCACTCTACACTTGAGCTATAGCTCTACTTCTGCTTTTTTTTTTAAAAGCAGTTTATGAATACAAATATCTTGGTCAATGTCACCCCTTTTCAACATTCTCATCCATCCTTCCATCCTTCCCCTACCTCACCCCTGGCTCCCCCCTCCCAACTTTTTTTGTAATTACTTGGAGATGAGAGTCTTACAGACTTTCTGCCTGAGCTGGCTTTGAACTGTGATCCTCAGATCTCAGTCTCTGGAATTGGTAGGATTGCAGGAATGAGCTACTGCCACCGGCACCACTTTCTTTTATTTGCTATGATGACCTTTTGTTTATAGCTCTTTCTGATCCTAATTATAAAACAAAGTTCCCAACCACTCTTCTTTGTATCATGGCTTTTATTGGGGTACAAAAATTTATACTATGTTTCAAACAGGCTATTAGAAGAAAGTATTGTCCTATGTTCAGTAGACTTTGTTGTTATTAAGTGAATTATATAATTGTAAAGATAAATGCTGGTGGATCTCTTGATAGAGTTCCTATGCTTTAGAAAAATGGACAAATCAATCTATCTGTATGAGCTTTGGTTGTTGGCTTGGTTGATGATCTGGTTGTTAGACAGGTGTGGGAGCCTAGTTTAAAGTGACTAATTTTTTTTTTTTTTTGCCGGTCATGGGGCTTGAACTCTGGGCCTGGGCGCTGTCCCTCAGCTCTTTAGCTCACGGCTAGCACTCTACCACTGGAGCCACAGCACCACTTCCTAAAGTGACTAATATTTGATGGTGATATATGATTATCTAATACAGAAACATTTTTTTCAGTAGGTACTGTACAGTGAGTGTACATGTTTTATGTTTGGATTGTCCATAACCAGAGGTCCATGGTCATACGTTTAAGTGAATATACACACAATCTATGTGCTTAAGGAAATGTATATTCTTGCTTACATTCTTCTTACTCTTTTAATATAATTTTATTGTTTTTAAGGTACAAAGTGATTACCATTTTATAAGTCAGGTAATGTTTCCCCAGATTCCTCCTTCCATCCATGTCCACGAGTTACATAGGTCATTTTTTCACAGAGTGTATACTGAATCTTACTTGCATTCTTCATTTTTTTTTTGGGGGGTCCGGTCGTGGGGCCTGAACTCTGGGCCTGGGCGCTGTCCCTCATCTCTTCAGCTCAAGGCTAGTGCTCTACCACTTGAGCCACAGCGCCACTTCTGGCTTTTTTTCTTTTTTGCTTATGTGGTGCTGAGGAATTGAACCCAGGTCCTCATGCATGCAAGGCAAGCGCTCTACCACTGAGCCACCTTCCCAGCCCTGCATTCTTGATTTTTTAGTAAGCTTAATTTGCTCAAATCAAGTTCTTGTGTAATAATAATATTAAGTTGAGTTTTGTAAATTTAGCTACTTGAGTTAAATTTAGTTACCTGAGCTTGAGTTAAATGGCTAAATATATTGATAGCAGATATGTTAATGTAGAAATTATTTTACTACTATATCATTCTTTAAAATCAAGTTTTTATATTAGTGCCTGACTTGAAAAGTGAAATTATGATTTTACAAAAAAACCTCTGATACTTTTTTTTTTTTTGTCAGTTCTGAGGCTTGAACTAAGGTCTGAGCACTGTCCCTGAGTTTCTTTGGCTCACAGCTAGCATTCTACCACTCAAGCCACAGTAGTTTATTGGTGATGAGTCTCAGACTTTCCTGCCCCACTGGCTTTGAATCATGATCCTCAGATCTCAGCCTCCTGAGTAGCTAGGGTTACAGGCATGAGCCACCAGTACCTGACTCTGATACTTCTTTTCCCTTGCCAGTTCTGGAGCTTGAACTCAGGGATTGAGCACTGTTCCTGAGCTTCTTTTTGCTCAAGGCTAGCACTCTACCACTTGAGCAACAGCGCCACTTCTGGCCTTTTCTGTTTATGTGGTGCTGAGGAATCGAACCCAGGGCTTCATACAGGCAAGGCAAGCACTCTACTGCTAAGCCACATTCCCAGTCCCTGATATTTCTTTAAAGAGAAAATAACTGTTGTTGAGAAAAGATGTTATTGTGGAGCACAGACTGACCTTGAATAGATGATCTTCGTGTCTTAACCTACCAAGTGCTATGATTGCAGAAGTATACCAATACTTCCAGCTTAAGGAAATTTTTAAATTTTGACTTTCAAGATCTTCCACAATAAAACCCTAACCTTACCCCTTATAATATAAATCCTAGCTTTAACAGCTTGATTTGCTTACTTAAATATTCTTTCTTCTTTGAGTGTAACTGGAAGGCCCAGCTCAACTCAGCTATAATTCTGTGAAGAGAGGAGAGAAATTTAGCATTGTTTTCTGTCTCTGTCACTGGTTTTGTAACTCCTTCACTGATGGATTTGTAAGAGCACATTTGGGTTGAGGATTGTGTGTCTGAAGTACCTTATGCTTTGTCATATTCTGTGAAGCTACTATTTCCATAGTACTTACTATTTTCTCCATTTCTTCCCAAACATATACTGTTAACAACAATTGTGTCTGTACTTTGGTAGTGCCAATTCACTGTGCTTTGTGAATTGCTCAACCACACCCACTCAGCACTGCATACCAAGAAACTTAACCACTATTGTGGGGTTTTGGGGGGGGGATTGTATGTGTGTGTGTGTGTGTGTGTGTGTGTGTGTGCATGCACGTTTGAACTACAATCCTCAGATCTCACCCTCCTGAGTAGCTAGTATTATAGGAGTCAGCCACCGCTATAGGAGTCGGCCATTGCTACTTGGCTCACCTGTGTTTTTTGTTTGTTTGTTTGTTTGTTTGTTCGTGTGTGTGTGTGTGTGTGTGTCTGTCTGTCTGTCTGTGTGTGTCTGTGTGTGTGTGTTTCTATCTTTGGTACCACTACTATAACTTGAACTCAGGATGTGAGCACTGTCACTTAGGTTTTTCACTCAAGGCTAACACTCCACCATGTGAGCCACACCTCCACCATTTGCTTTTTGTGGCTAATTAGAGATGAGTCTCATGAACTTTTCTGTCCAGTCTGGCTTTGAACCACAATCCTCAGATTTCAGCCTCCTTAAGTAGCAACAGGTGCCTGGCCTAACCACTATGTTTTAAATGATCATGTATTTTATTATGTATTTCAAAACTCATGTATTGTAGGTAGCAACAATTGCAGAGACAGATGAATCTGCAGAATCAGAAGGTGTAATTGATCCACATAAACGCAGAGAAATCCTTTCGCGAAGACCCTCTTATAGGTGAGTTAACTTAGTTTCCTTCTGGAATGATAGTTGGTCCAGGAAAGTAGAATAATCCTAGACCAAAACAGTTCTTCCTTTATAGCTTTTCTGATTAAGAAAGTTATTGTTATTATAAAGGTGATGTACAAAGGGGTTGCCGTTGCGTAAGTCATAAGTCAACTTATGCAATTGCATAAGTTGTAGTTGCTTTTCTGTTTGACATCTCATTTATCTATCCTGATTATTTGTTTTATTCCATGATATTTTAGAAAAATACTGAATGAACTTTCCTCGGATGTGCCTGGTATTCCCAAGATTGAAGAAGAAAAATCAGAGGAAGAAGGAACACCCCCTAACATCGCTATGGCAGTGCCAACTAGCATATATCAGACTAGCACGGGGCAATACAGTATGTATGCTGCAATTCCATACAATACAGGCCTGCTTAAGTCTCCTCTAGTTATCCTGAAGCAATTCAGCTTTTCTCATAGACTTGTTCCATTTTTAAATGCATCGCTAACAACTAAATTGTATACCATAAAATGTTAAAGAAGTAAGAGATTTGTACTGACAGCTGAAAAGTAAAAACTTCTATTGTTAAGTATAGAAAAAAAATCTGGTAGTAAAAAAATTCAAAGGGAGGAACTTTCCTATTTATATGTTTATACTTATCATTAGGAAAAGTTCTAAAATTATTGTTTTCATTGTCTTTATGATGCATGCAAACATAAGCTATAAACATCTGTATTTCATTCTTGTTGGCTTTTGTTACTAATAGCATGCTTACTAATCTCAAAGAGGTAAATAATGTTCTCTGAATTATGTTTTAAATGTAATTCTGTTTTTACTACTTGCTACTGTTAATTTGTGCCACAGTTTTTTTTTCAGAGAATGAAAAGTGATTTAACTTTTAAAACTATAGCAATTGGGTAGATGGCTTTATTTGAAATTTTACTCAATGAAAACTCTAAATAAACAGATACACTCACATTTAGTCTTGTGCATTTTAATGAACTGTTCATTCTGTGCTTTTATTTTCCCAGTAACAAGAGCACTAGTGGTGTTTTCTTTTTTACCCTCTAATGAAAAATATTAGATAAACAAAAATAGTTTTAAAGAAATATCGGAACTAGAAAAGGGGGGGAAGGAATTTTGTGGAAAAAACTTCCTTGATATTAGAACCTATATTATAATATTAAATACTGTTTGTCAAAGTAACTTATTACAATTTAAGTTTGTTCTCTTTTTTTTCCTTTAAAAAGTAGTAATGCATAGAAAAACTAAAATCTTATGACATGGCTATTGAAACAAGTATAGTCTTCTTTCATGAATGAGAAATTCTTACATAGTCATTAGTTTTTTATTGTTGTCTGTTTTTATTCTTGTAGTGGTGATAGACTTGAAGCATGAAACTATTAAAATAAAAATCCCGTGGCAGTTTTGAATAGCTCCAGTCGTGATACCTATCAGAACTGGGGTATAATTTACTGGCTGTCCCTACAGGATGCTGAATAGACAGACATGTCCAGAGTTTATGGAAAAGAAAACTGCCCACATGTGCAAGAATTAGACCTTGAGGTTTTCACTGACTTCTCTCTGATTTCTTCTCTTATTTACATGCTTCTTTGATTAGTGCACGGGAGTTTAGGGACTACATGTCATATTTTGTTGGCTGGTGTCCCTCTAGAGTGTGGGGTCAGACTCCAGGAGGGCAGACCTCCCCATCCTACAGTCCCCAGAGATTGCCTTGAGCAGTATCCTCCATTAGCCCCATTCTCATTTTCTGTTTGTGCCCTGACAGGAAAAAGGTTGGAAATCACTGCTGAAATGATGTTACAACCTTTTGTAGTTTCAGAGCTTGAACTCAATGCCTCTTGCTTTTGCCTGTCTTGCTTGTTCAACTGGTGCTTGGCCACTTGAGTTACTCTTCCAGGCCTGATTTTTGCTAGTTATTTTGAAGATGAAGTCTTGGGAACTTTTCTGCCCAGGATGACTTTGAACTTTAATTCTTAATACTCAGGAAGACCACCTGAGTAGCTAAGATTACAAACATGAGCCACTGATGCCTTGAAAGACATTAAACTGGGGGTGGAGGGGACCAGGGGGAATGACCTAAGAGGCTGTTGTTTTGACATTTCTTTGGCATATCCTAATATTACTTCGGAATTCTCACCAACCTCTTAAAAGGCAAGATGCTGGAGGTGTCAACAGTGAAAGTTTGATGTAGTTGAAATCATATTGTTGAGAGAATGGTCTAAGCTGGAAGAGGATATGGGGAAGGAAGAAGGAGCTGGATTGGCCGTTTGCTAAGTCAAGGCCAGGCTCTGAAGGTGAGGGTGAAGGAGGACATAATGGGTAAAAGGAGAAGACATCCACTGCTGAAATGAGACGGAGAAATGTCTGTCTGTGGCAATCTCATTCTGTTCTTTAGACTTTTTGTTCCAGCCAGTTCCTCTGCCTGCTGCCTGTGCTTTTGGTGTCAGGAGTTCTGCAGGAGAACTACTAGCAAATGGCATGATTGAAGGTAGACATTTATCTGTTTGCCTAACAAGAGTTCATGGACTCACGTGTTCTTATTTGGGCCCAACATTAGATCCTGACAATTCCTTTAGGGAGAAATTGTGGTGGTTCTGTGTATGTCTCCAGGTGAGATTGTCATGTATTGGTTCACACAAAACAATATTGCCTTTGTTAATGCATGCATTTTAGACACTTTTAGTGCTGCTTGTTTATGAAGATAATATTTTTTTTTTGTCAGTCGTGGGGCCTGAACTCTGTGCCTGGGCGCTGTCCCTCACCTCTTCAGCTGTAGACTAGCATTCTACCATTTGAGCCTCAGTCCCACTTCCAGCTTTTTCTGCTTATGTGGTGATGAGGAATCGAACCCAGGGCCTCATGCATGCAAGGCAAGCACGCTATCCCTGAGCCACCTTCCCAGCCCGATAATATTTTTTTTTTATCAGTCATGTGGCTTGCACTCAGGGCCTAGGCACTGTCCCTGAGCTTTTCTGCTCAAGACTAGTACTGTAGAGCACTTTGAGTCACAGTTCCACTTCATTTGCTGGTGGGTAATTGGATAGTAGCATCTCACAGGCTTTGTCGCCCTGCTTGCTTTGAACCATGATCCTCATATCTCAGCCTCCTGATTAGCTAGGATTGCAGGCAGAGCCATCAGTGCCAGTAATAATTATTTCATTTGAAAAGAAAATTCTAACATTTAAACTGTTCTGAATCATTTACATATTTTAGATAATACAGGTATATTTATACATGGAGGAGATCTGTTTTCATTGATCTTAATTGTATTTTTCTAGGAAAAAAAGAATGTTATATCTAAATGTCTAGAAATAGAAACAGTTGTATCTCAGGTTTTAGATTAGAGTTTATTTCAGTGGAATTTCTAGATATTTTTCTATGGATGCCTTTCATAATCTTACTATGGTATGTGTGTCACTGTTCAAGAAATAAAATTAAAATCAGCAAACTCAAGCTTTTCCATATATAAGAAGTTTTTAATAGTTGAAAGATAATTTAACAGATATTAGTCTTACTATTTCAACCTACTTTGTGTGTGTGTGTGTGCGTGTATGTGCACACGTGCATGCACATACACTCATTCTAGTTCTAGGGCTTGAATTCAGGGCCTGGGAGCTTTTGTGCTCAAGGCTAGCACTCTACCACTTGAGCCAAAGCTCCACTTCTGGCTTTTTGGTGCTTAATTGGAGATGAGAGGCTCACAGACTTTCCTGCTAGAGCTGGCTTTGAACCACATGTCCTCATGTCTCAGCCTTTTGAGTAGCTAGGATTACAGGCATGAGCTATTGGTGCTGGGATCAACTTACTTTTTAACATTAAATCTAGGAAGTGAGTTGGAATAGGGTACTATCTGAAGCAAGAAAACTAGTGAGACTTACTTCTTGTAGCACAAAGAAAGTAAGCTATACCTACAAAATCCTCTTGGGAAGTACAAATCTTAGTGACAGGTTTGTTAACAATTAAGTGAAGCTGAGTTGGGGAGATGGGTTCATAGTAGAGTACATGCCTACCTGTCTGAGGCCCTGGTTTCCACTCTAAAACAGTTATATGATTCTGGTCCAAGAAAATCTGCTGTAGCTCAGCAGAATATATATAAAATATGGCAATTGAGATAGTCTGAGAACATTACAAGCAAGGATAAGTCATTGAAGACATTCTACAGCTGGGCGCTGGTGGCTCACGCCTGTCATCCTAGCTACTCAGGAGGCTGAGATCTGAGGATTGTGATTCAGACCCAGCCCAGGCAGGACTCTTTATCTCCAATAAACCACCAGAAAACCGAAATGGTGCTATGGCTCAAGTGGTAGAGCACTAGCCTTGAGCTGAAGAGCTAAGGGACAGCACCCAGGCCCCAGAGTTCAAGTCCCCCCTCACACACACACACTTACACAAAACAATGTTCAATAAATGAGTGAATTCGTATAAACATAGTAAAAGCAATTAAATTTAAATTCATAATTGTTTTTCAGTTCATCAGCTTTTCTCTAAAGAGAGAGAATTTTCTTTTAATTCCTCACCCATCCTCTTTTTTCACCAATTAACGGCTGTCACCAAGGCTTCAAATTGTTCTTTTTCTCCATGTCCCTTGACTCTTCTTTGCTCCTGCTTTGTTTTACTAGGAACTTTTTAGAATGAGTCTCTGTTAACTACTCTCTCTTGGAAATCTCATAATGAAAGGTAAGTAAGTCTATTGAAATTCTACCATTATCAAAATACAAACGTGAAGTTTGTGGAGTAGAATTCTTAAAAGACTCACGCTCGTAAACAAGAATTGTACATAGTAAAATAAAAAGCACTTGGATGTATTATTCCCGGTGACATTGCTTATAGCTCCCCCCAAGATAACTTGCAAAATTATTGAAAGTATTTCTTAATTGCTCTTTAATCTGCTTGTTGCTATTTTCACTGTAACATGATTTAGTCTTTTTTTTCTCCACCTTGGACTACTTCATGTTTTTGTTTTATGTATGTGTTTTGCTGGTACTAAAACTTGAACTCAAGGCTTGGGTGCTGTCCCTTAGCTTTTTCTCTCAAGGCTAGCACTTTACCACTTGAGCTATAGCTCCACTTATGGAGTTTTGGTGGTAAATTGGAGAAACTGTCATTGGCTTTCTTGCCTGGGCTGGCAAGAACCTCAATCCTCAGATCTCAGCTTCTAGAATAGCTACGATCGATTATAGGCATAAAACTCCAGTGCCCACTGGGGGACTACTTAGGTTTGTTTGTTTTTTTCTGCCGGTCTTGGGGCCTGAGTTCTGGGCCTGGGTGCTGTCCCTCAGCTCTTCAGCTCAAGGCTAGCGCTCTACCACTTGAGCCACAGTGCCACTTCTGTCTTTTTCTGCTTATGTGGTGCTGAGGAATTGAACCCAGGGC